TGGACAGTTCCGACTGCAGAAACTTCTACCAGCCTCAGATCAGGACTGTGGAAGGCCCTGCTGTAGTCTGTATGTTCTGCACAGAGTTCAGGACCACGGTCAGCTCCTCTGCAGCACTGCGTGTATATGTGTGTGTTTGCCTGTGTGTGTGTGTGTGTTTGCCTGTGTATATGTGTGTGTTTGCCTGTATGTGTGTGTGTGTGTGTTTGCCTGTGTGTGTATATGTGTGTGTTTGCCTGTATGTGTGTGTTTGCCTGTATGTGTGTGTGTGTGTATATGTGTGTTTACCTGAGTGTGTGTGTGTGTTTGTTTGCCTGTATGTTGATCCGTGAGTGTTTGGAGTCATTATGAGGCTAAGACGCTGAACACAGGAGCGTGTGAGGGAGTGCGAGGGCAGGGGGGCGGCTCTGGGGGCGGCTCTGGGGGCGAGGGGCTCGGGTGGAATAAAAATGATAGATGAGTGCTTTCTGTCATGGACAGTTATTTAGAGGTTGGCCGTAAAGCTGTCCGGGGAATGAACAGATTTTAGTCTAATGAGCAGAAAGGAAAGCCGTTAAAGCGGTGCGATGTGCTCAGCACTTCTTCCAAATGAAATAGTACCATTTCCCGCTCATTAAAATGCAAAGGGTTCATATAACATGGAGCAATAAAGCTTGGCATGCGCAGGAGGAGAGAGAGGAGCACCCCACAGAGCTCATCTCGCTGCTCCATTAGTGCGGCAGGAGGAGAGGCCTTCCATGAGCCGCTGCCAACAGTATCTCTCACTCAATCTCCTGATTCGGTTAGCTCTGTAAAAGTCAATCTGGTGCACTTGGCAAATCCATCCACAGAAGCGGCTCCCGATCTGATAAGAGCCGGCGCTTGCTCTTGAAATCATTTTTCCAGACTTACAGCTGCACACAGAGCAAACAATGGTGCGGTGCTCGGCTCGCGGCGCCCGGATCATCCACTGCTTATCGCCGCCGCGCTCCTTCACTTTGATTCAGAGGGAATTTCATGTTCAGCCGCTTCAGGATCAAGACGATTGTGGAAACTCTGCCTCGCTCCGGGATCGGCTGCAGCTACAGACCAAACACATGTCTCTGCGGAAGCTTCCCGATCCTTCAACGACAAGTGTCTGTGCTAAAGCCAGGTCTAGTCTGAAGCCCGAGAGAGGCCAGGGAGAGACCAGAGAGAGACCAGAGAGAGACCAGAGAGAGACCAGAGAGAGACCAGAGAGAGACCAGAGAGAGACCAGAAAGAGACCAGAGAGAGACCAGAGAGAGATCAGAGAGAAACCAGAGAGAGACCAGAGAGAGACCAGAGAGAGACCAGAGAGAGACCAGAGAGAGAGACCAGGGAGAGACCAGAGAGAGACCAGGGAGAGACCAGAGAGAGACCAGAGAGAGACCAGAGAGAGACCAGGGAGAGAGACTAGGAGGAGAGACCAGGGAGAGACCAGAGAGAGACCAGGGAGAGAGACCAGGGAGAGACCAGAGAGAGACCAGGGAGAGAGACTAGGAGGAGAGACCAGGGAGAGACCAGAAAGAGACCAGGGAGAGAGACTAGGAGGAGAGACCAGGGAGAGACCAGTGAGAGACCAGAGAGAGACCAGAGAGAGACCAGTGAGAGACCAGAGAGAGACCAGGGAGAGACCAGAGAGAGACCAGAGAGATACCAGAGAGAGACCAGAGAGAGACCAGAGAGATACCAGAGAGAGACCAGAGAGAGACCAGGGAGAGACCAGAGAGAGACCAGAGAGATACCAGAGAGAGACCAGAGAGAGACCAGAGAGAGACCAGAGAGAGACCACAGCCCAGGTCTCAACACACATTAACTTGTTTCCAAACTTTACCATCTTTCAAAATACTGCAAATACCGTCATAAAATCGTTATAATTAACTGCCAAAGGTTTTCCTGTGGACTGATAACCTCCACTGTTGCTTTTTCCATTTTGCTTTGATGCATTCACTTTGGCAGTTATTGGGCCAGTAATCTCATCAAGGGCTCAGCGCCGCCATCAAATATATATCAATAAACCAATAAAACCCAGAGGTGGAGATGTTTGATGGGACTGACCACGGACGCTGCTCTGACTGGAACTAACACAAAAACACTGCAGCGAAGGTTCAACACAGTCTGGCAAACTATGCTCAAAATATACTGAAAATATGTAGAAAAGTATCGTGTGAACCGATACTGCAGTCTGTATCCATCACACACTCAAAGTCTCTTCACATCATCATTCTTTCACTCCAGACACTACTGAAGCCACAGCTGCCCTGGGGCACACTGACAGAAGCAAGGCCAGGGAGAGACCAGAGAGAGACTAGAGAGAGAGACCAGAGAGAGATCAGTGACAGAGACCAGAGAGAGAGACTAGAGAGAGACCAGAGAGACCAGAGAGAGAGACCAGAGAGAGACTAGAGAGAGAGACCAGAGAGAGATCAGTGACAGAGACCAGAGAGAGAGACTAGAGAGAGACCAGAGAGACCAGAGAGAGAGACCAGAGAGAGACCAGAGAGAGACCAGGGTGAGACCAGAGAGATAGACCAGAGAGACCACTGCCCAGGTCTTAACACACACCAACTTGTTTCCACTGACAGAAGCGAGGCAACCAGTCTGTGCCATCGGCCCCTCCCACCACCACCAACCACTCACACACACACCAGACTCATTCTAATGTGGGGGAAGTGTCTTGCCTAAGGACACAACCACAGTTTGGCACTTTACAGCCGCAGCCGCCCCACTGTGGCACCTGCTGTTCCCAGAGGTCTCCCATCACAGTACTACCCAGGCCCTGCCCTGCTTAGCCTCAGATTTCTGACAGGATCTGGCTCTGACCTGCAGAGGGCGCCACACGTATTGTCGGCCTCATGAAGTAAATCGTGTTTTGTTTTGTCGTCATTTTCAGTTGGATTTTGGTTTTGTCCGTTCTGGGTCTTTCTGACTTGTACTTCCTGTTCTGCTGTTGGCTCCGCCCCCCTGTGCTGCACCGGTGTTTGCCGGTTAGATTCCCGGAGCTTTCCCTCTTGTTGTCGGTGCATTTAAAGTTGTTCCAGGTTCTCGTCTTCCTGGAGCGACAGTGGCTCAGTTGGTAGAGCATTGGCCTTTGAGCCTGAAGGTCGTGGGTTCAAGTCCACCACAAGACCTTCTCCACTGAAGTCTGCTGTCGGTGTGTCCTTGGGCAAGACACTTAACCCCCACTTTGCCTTTAATGAGCGCGGTAGTAATGTCCGCTGCCTTCATGTGTTTTTATCAAACAGTAATATTCCCTAAATGTGGGACAGATGAAAACCTTCTTCTTCTTCATCCATTTATTCTTTTGCAGTATTGTGTTTTAAAATTAAGATTAAGAGATCCTTTAATTGTCCAACAGCGGGGAAATGTCAGTGTTGCATCACAAGTTATAGAGCAGTAGGAAAGAGGAGCCTGAACAAAAGCTGTACTAATTAAAATAAAACAAAATCTCTGCCTCTAGCATCAAAAATAAGTATAACATTTCTATCTTGAAAATAATAATAAATACATTTTGGGTCCTTCCTCTCTTTTGAAACGTGACAATTCTAGCATTGGGGAACTATACTGTCGTCGTTGCCCAGAAAAATGATTAGATTTGACAATATCTGAGACGACAAAATGCATCTGGAATGACAAAAGCATGTAATGTGTGTCACAGAGAAATCTAAACTCTTCTGAACCAACTCTTCAGTCTTGCTCTCGGCCCACTCTCGGTAAACAGGGGTAAGTTGTTCTGTATACGTTCAAAGGGAGTCTCTCTTCTCACAGGAATGGCCTCCGTCACCTCCCGCTCAAACCCGGCCTGGCCTCCCTTTTGAAAGCCTCACCGTGTTGTCTTCAAAGGAGGCTGGAGGCTTTTATGTGACGGGAACTCTGCCCATGAATGGACCATTGTAGATTCCTCCCTACAGCGATGTATTCTCCTGTGCAGCAATCGTGACGCCCGTAATAATGGGACGATAACGACTTATTTAGCTTCTGACAAACGCCACACACCGAGGTTCAAAGCTGCTACATTTTGATTGCCAGAAAACTCACAAAAACACTGTTCATTTTACAGCAGATCAGAGGTCTCCCATCGCAGCACAAACCAGGCACCGCACCACTTAGCATCTGAGACTGGAAAGAATCTGAGAGTCCTAGATCTTCACCACTGTTCTTAAAGAAAGGCCAGAGAGAGACAAAAGAGAGAGACTAGAGAGAGACAAGAGAGAGACCAGAGAGAGACAAAAGAGAGAGACTAGAGAGAGACCAGAGAGAGACAGGGGAGAGACCAGAGGGAGAGACCAGAGAGAGACTAGAGAAAGACCAGAAAGAGACAAAAGAGAGAGACTAGAGAGAGACCAGAGAGAGACAAAAGAGAGAGACTAGAGAGAGACCAGAGAGAGACAGGGGAGAGACAGGGGAGAGACCAGAGGGAGAGACCAGAGAGAGAGACCAGAGGGAGAGACTAGAGAGAGAGACCAGAGAGAGAGACCAGCGAGAGAGAGACCAGAGAGAGACCAGAGAGAGGCCGGAGAAAGACCAGAAAGAGACCAGAGAGAGACCAGAGAGAGACCAGAGAGAGACCAGAGAGAGACCAGAAAGAGACCAGAGAAAGACCAGAGAGAGACCAGAGAGAGACCAGAGAGAGACCAGACAGAGACCAGAGAAAGACCAGAGAGAGACCAGAGAGAGACCAGAGAGAGACCAGAAAGCCATGACATGCAGTTAGGACCATAATAAGTTGCTTTCAAGCTCTAGCATCCGATTACAAAATTAAACTCTCATTTTGAAAGAAAAATGTTTCGTCCAATGTCCAATTATTTTCTCAGTCCATTCCATTTCAAACCCCATTGGACAAGACAACAAACGCTTTGTGAACTTGGATACCAGGTGACTTCCTTCACCTGGTATCCTTCGCTTCAGACCAATCACAGACCAGCGTTTCAGGTTCATACCAACACACCCGTCTCTTTCAAACTCAAACAGCAGACACTCTATGACGCCACGGCTCTTACCGGCGTAGAGTTCAGGACCATAGACAGCTCCCACCACCGGATTCAGCTTCCATCCTGCTCAAACAAACACACGTTGAAAACAAAGCTCCCATTCATTTCCCGGGTCAGATCCCACTCCTCGCTCACCGTTCGTGTAGGGGTTGGCCACCTTCTTGTTTGTCATCACTCTCGCCGTGGCGTTGTTCACCTGTTTCAAAGCGACAACACGGTTATGGCATCTCTACGGCTACACAACCAGCTTTAAGATGGAGTCACACTATGGGCTTCCAGGGCAGGCAGGCAAGCAAATCCATGGCAAGAACAAAGAGGGGGGTAAACAAACAAGATGGAGGTTTTTTTTGTGGTCGTTCCGTTCTCTCAGCCTTGCAGCGGGCGTTAGCGTTTCAGGATTGGACTGACAGTCAGTGGTGGGAGCCCAGGCATGCACCAACCACCGACACAGACAGGTCAAGAACCCGGCGTTCCGTGGTGAAGACACACATTCGGGCGTGGACACAGTTTCGTTCTGATCTGAGCTTTCTCCGATATCGCTTCAGCTGGTTTCAGTCGTCTCAAAAGTGCAGGTCATTGCTCACCGTCTCATTCTTTGTATAAATATATTGAATTCACCTTAAAAAAACAAAATGTATGCGACTATATTTGCTATTGCGCTGCTACTTTTAACAAATGTTTACACACATTTTTAACAGCATTGACAATATTTATGTTTTATGTTTTTCATATTATATTTTTACTCTCTGGCTTTTAAGTCCGCGTGAGTTGTGTGGTCCTCTTTTTATTTTTATCGTTTTATTTGTTTCTTTTTCTTTTTATTTATGTATTTTTATTTTAAAAAAAATTTAAATCTTTTTTTGTATCTATATATTTTTATCTATTTATTTATTCGTATTTATGTATTTATTTTTATTTTTATTTATTTTTATTTACATTTATTTATTTATTTTTATTTATTTTTATTTATTTTTATTTTTATTTATTTATTTATCGGATAACTAGTTTTTTATTGCATGTTTTTAGTTAACTGGTATTTTATTGTTTTTTATCACATTTGTATTGTTTTGACTTTGTGCATATTTAAATGTGTTGATTTTATCTCTGTGCAGAACTTTGGAAACTTGTTTTATAAAATGTGCTACATAGATAAACTGGATTGGATTGTTTTCTGGCGATAAAACCCAGAAATGTCCTGTTGTCGTTTGAAGTTGCTGCTTTTCTCCGGTGTCTTTTAGAGCGTTACTTCCTGTTCTGGTGATGGCCCCGCCCCCATGTGTACACCTGTGTCTTCCAGGTACATTCAGATAAATTCCCAGTTCCTCTACTTTACATTCAGTTGGATTCTAGTTCATTAAGCTACATTATTTTTTGCAGTGTTCCATTTTGGGTTCTCCTTTTTGAAAGAAATCAAAGCAGTATGGGCCCAAACGTGGGAGACATGGGCGACTTAAGGAGGACTCAGAGAGAATCGACCCAATTTATCGTACAACTAAAGTTATGTGCTCGATCCAAATCTTTTCTCCTGCTTCAGTGATTCTACTAGATTCACATTTGGATAATTTCAGATTCTTTTGAAAAACCCTTTTTGATAAAACTGGGTTAAACTTCGTGAAACAATCCAGACCCAACAGGATTTACAATAACGGGTTCAGATTTACAGAATTCTGCATTCATCAGCTGCAACTTGGTGTCCGGCTATTTCAGTGAATACATCTGTAGTTATCACATTTATCCAACACTCAAGTAAGAGATTGGTGTGAGTTTAAAGGTCCCAGTTCGACTTTAGAGAGCGCTGAGTGGATGTGGGAATAGATCGATAGTGGGATTGTTGTTTAGGTTAACATTTAAAAGAGTGTGAATATTATCAGTGCAGACAACTTTTGCTTCGACCTACACTGGAGTGAAATCTACCATTGAAGCCGTTGAAACCTCACTAATAATTATCCACAGTGGTTAATGTGTAGCTTCACCTATTTTGGGGCTTTTCCGTGGGTGAGGATGTGGCTTTTCTGGTCTGAATTAAATAACCGGCCTGTAGAGCATCAGGCAGGACTTGGCTCTTGGCTGTGTCTCGGGCAGCTGAAGTAAAACACAAATCCCTGTCTGTTGTGTGCGTCTGTCCAGATAACTGTAGAAGAACCTATTTTTAACATAAAGATAGAAAAAGGCCTAAGAAAGAGGCCTCTAGGTATAAAATGTGTGGATTTCAAACTTGTATATTTTATAATCTGTGTTTTGCATGTGCCCCCGTTGGTGTTCTGTCTGTGAATGAACTTCCTCAAGAATCAATAAAGTTATTTGAATGTGTATGAATAATTATGCATGTTTTGTAGAGTGTAGACAGCGACAGATCCCAGCACTTTTTGAGACCGCTGTAAAAAGCCGAGAAATGGTCGAGCCTTTTTCCACTGAGAGACAGAGTGGAGTTTTGGTCACCACCATGAAAGGACTGTTGCAGCTGTTCTCCAGCCTCTCCCGGACACCTGTACACCTGTACACCTGTACGCATGCACACGCAACATGCACACGCAAACATGCTCTCTCCCACATGCACACTGCTCAACTGTAAAATGGAGAAATGGTCAGAAAAGAGCCCTGTTGTTGTGAGTCCACGGTGTCGTATGGACGCCACGGGTCACTCAAAAACACACATGCTTCCAAACGTTGTCGTGACAGAGGTCGAGTCATGCGCCGTCGCTGTGGGTCACATGGGGATGCTTCGGGAAAACAGCCAAAACAAAAGAGCTTCTGTAGATGCTAAGCTAGCTAAAGACGCCATAATAACAATAATAATAATAATATGTCATTAGAATACACTAAAGAGTCATAGGGTTATATGTTTTCTCACCGCATTAGGGCTGCATGATTGAGGCAATTCACATATTTAATTGTATCTACTCTGTATCCATTTTCTTCCGATTAATCCATTCCTGGGTCAGAGCTGCACCTGGTTCACAGAGCACCCTCACTGATCTGTTGATGAACGCACAGACTTGATCTATCAGCGGGGCTTCAGGCAAAGTGGGGTTAAGTGTCTTGCCCAAGAGCACAACGACAGCAGACATCAGTGGAGAAGGTCTTGTGGTGGGCTTGAACCAACAACCTTGCGGCTCAAAGGCCAATGCTCTACTGTATATGGGTGATTTAAACGCTAGCTTGCTCTTTCTAAACAGCTCAAATATTACCACACAACATACATTAGGCCAAAGCTCTCACAAGTCAAACTCACAAAAACAGTAAGCACCGGATGCTAATGGTGCTAACGAGGCTAACTGTGCTAACGAGGCTAACGAGGCTAACTGTGCTAACGAGGCTAACGAGGCTAACAGGGAACTGAAAGGACAGTATGCTCCTTTTCACAGAGGCTGGATTTGAACCGTTTTAACTGTTTTTTGCCTTGAATCTTGCAGCCCTAATTCCCCTTCACTAAAACCCAACATTTTCTCAAACGAATCAAAAGTCTAAAAATTACGAATCAGACAGAAACCGGCTCGTGGATCTCTACAACGCCCTGTTCTCTGCTCCAGGTCGCCCCAAACATAGAATACTCTTAGCAACATATTTACGGCATTCAAAACGCTGAAGAGTGAATCCAGAGAAGTCCACGAGCCAAGTTTTATCTCCGACCGTTTTGAGATTTTCGCTTCGTTTGTGGCAAAGTCTGAATTCTGCCACGAAAGAAAGTGGTGATAAAAAGAAGCTATTTCTCCAAAGTAAGTCCCATGTGATCCACAGAGATGTTAGAACCCCTCTGTGCGTTTAGTAGCAGCAGGCAGAAGTGTGTGTGTGTGTATATGTGTGTGTGTGTGTGTGTGTGTGTGTATATGTGTGTGTGTGTGTGTGTGTATGTGTGTGTGTGTGTGTCTTTGTGTGTATATGTGTGTGTATGTGTGTGTGCGTGTGTATGTGTCTGTGTGTGTGTGTGTGTGTGTATATGTGTGTGTGTGTGTGTGTGTGTGTATGTGTGTGTGCGTGTGTATGTGTCTGTGTGTGTGTGTGTGTGTGTGCATATGTGTGTGTGTGTGTGTGTGTGCTTGTATATGTGTGTATATGTGTGTGTGTGTATATGTGTGTGTATATGTGTGTGTGTGTGTGTGTGTGTGCATATGTGTGTATGTGTGTGTGTGTGTGTGTGTGCATATGTGTGTGCGTGTGTGTGTGTGTGTGCATATATGTGTGTGTGTGTGTGTGTGTATGCGTGTGTATATGTGTGTGTGTGTGTGTGTGCGTGTGTGTGTGTGTGCTTGTATATGTGTGGATAGGGGGAAAATGCATCAAAGTGAAGGAAAAGTAGAAGCACCTCGATTTTGCGTCCCTCTACGATTGTACCGTTTAGTTTCTCCCGTGCGCGATCCGCATCTGTGCTTGTCTCAAAAGTTACAAACCCAAAGCCCTTTAGGCCCAAAGAGGCGGCGGCAGTGAAAAAGAGCAGAAGAAATGGACAGAGAGAAGGTTAGGTCGGGGTTAGAGAGGAGAGGGAGGTTAGCGGGTGCCATGTTGGAAAGTCTAGAATCAAAAATATATAATTACTTTTGACTTGCTGTGTATAAAAATAGTGCCAAAATATGGACCTGTGTGATCCACAAAGCTGCAGGAGAATGTGCTCCCGGTGTTTGAATGGGTTCGGGGAGTCTAGCAATGCTTCTAAGTACATCGGTGGAGCGTCGAAGTGGTTAGCCATGCTTCTAAATTCACACAAGTACAACTGCAATGCATTGTTCATCTTGATTTTGGCCTTTAACTCTGGATTTTTAAATGTAGAAAGGATGTAGAAATGGTAAAGGTCGGTAAACACCGCCATCTAGTGGTGGAAGTGGAGAATTACACTCTGCATTTTGTATAAAACATCAAAAACGGTCTTGTAGTTGAAGTTGTAAAGAACGTACAGTATTTTGGAGGCGATACTTTTGTTTAAAAGAAAAAGAATCCGGCTCCATCCATGACGTTGTTGGCTGTGGATTTGTCGCAGCGTCACAAGTTTGAAGAAGGAGCGTTCAGAAAGAAGGGCAGGGGGTTGCTTTGTGCTCTCCAAAACACCCGGTCTGAATTAGCCATGGTTAGCCACGCTTCTAAGTTCACAAAACGCAACTTGAGAGCTGGTTTTTGCCGTTTTAACCAAAGGCATTGTCTCAGAATTCGCTTTGATTCTGATTTGTTATTTGTATGTTTATGTAAGTAAGTAATCTTTATTTATAGCAGTAGCAGTACTAATACCCAGTCTAAGGCAGTACTTTGAATCTGGGGTGAAAAGTACAAATACATTTCATTTTTCTTATTACAATCTGCAGTTTTTTTCATTTCCATCGCTGCTGATTTGTTGTGTTTTTTTTCCCCGCACTCCAAAGCTTCTCCACATAATGCATGATATTAGCCGCTGTTCCCACCTCTGGCTGTTTGAGACGTTAGATTAATTACGAGCAGTTAGCGGAGGCAAACATGTGAGAGACCGGAGACCCAAACACCAGACCATTACGGAGGCACGAGACCCGGTTAGCTCGTGCTAATGGGCCGGTCATTAGCAGCCGCCGCGACTTTGTGAAATCTGCACGACCTTTGAACGCGCCGCGGTAGCTGGAGAGGTGAGCCGAGCCTGCCGGACTTTGATGAGGGGAAAAAGTGCCACGGCAAACGGTTTATGCTAATGTCTGCGGATGATGAAGCGGCGACCCGGGGTTTGCTTCATCTGCGGACAAAGGCAGCTGCACTTTGTTTAAACGTGAGATCAGAAAATTAAAATATAATTGGAGGAGTGGGCAGTAATTCCGTGAGCGATTATTACGGGATCATGTCAGAGATCTGAATATATACATTCTCTTTGTGTTCATAGTTTTTATCTAGTTTCTTCATAATTAACAGCATTTTTGAAGTCTTTCATGTATATTTATATGCACATTTTAGTTGTATCTAGTTTCTTCTATTAATTAACTATATTTTTGGACTTGTGATTGGAAGAATGGACCATAATTCACACTATCATTACGACTCCTACATCCCCACATCAGTATTTCTTGTTTTCAGTCTGATCTGTTCGTAAGGATCCAGATCGTGGCAGATGCAGTGATCGTGGATTTTGATTGGTCCAGAGCACGCCCATATAAGGAGTCGTCTTAATGCTCCTTCCCCACGGCCTTGACACCCACAGAGTTATGTCAACGGGAAATGTACGAAAACAATTTTATAAGTCTGATTCACACACACACACACACACACACACACAGGCGCAAACACACACACACACACACAGGTGCGCACACACACACACACACACACACAGGTGCACGCATATACACAGGTGCGCACACGTACACACATAAACAGGCGCAAACACACACACACACACACACACACACTTGTCGGAACCACAACTACCTATCTATATTGCCTTAAAAAACTTTTCTATTTTGCATCTGTGTCAAAAAGTTCCATGTGAGTCACTATTTGACTCCATGGGCTGAAAGCTGATTGGCTGAGAATTGATAGGTCGAGAGCTGATTGGCGGAGACCTGATTGGCTGAGAGCTGATTGGCTGAGACCTGATTAGCTGAGAGCTGATTGGCTGAGAGCTGATTAGCTGAGAGCTGATTGGCTGAGACCTGATTGGCTGAGAGCTGATTAGCTGAGAGCTGATTGGCTGAGACCTGATTGGCTGAGAGCTGATTGGCTGAGACCTGATTGGCTGAGAGCTGATTGGCTGAGACCTGATTGGCTGAGAGCTGATTGGCTGAGACCTGATTAGCTGAGAGCTGATTGGCTGAGAGCTGATTAGCTGAGAGCTGATTGGCTGAGACCTGATTGGCTGAGAGCTGATTGGCTGAGACCTGATTGGCTGAGAGCTGATTCGCTGTAACACATTTCCATCGTTGTGGTTTGAAAGTTACATCCCCCAGCTTTAATCAGAAAGTACCTTTATTTTAAGTGTGTTTTAAGCAGTTTTCGCTCCTCTGATAATTGGTGTCGGGTGAAGCGCACGAGGGGGGAGTTGGCGAGCGATCTATGCTAACGCAGGCTTTCTATTTTCGCAGCATAAATAAGCCGGTCCTCCCGGGAGCGGATATGCAGATAAAGAAACACATTCACGGGGAAAAAAAAGGAGAATTGAGGCCAAAATGAATCCTGCCGACGCGTGGACAGTCGACTTCACCTCCCGCTATCTGTTTTTGTTTCCTCTGTGTTTATCGCACGTGAATAATTAGCTAACACGGGGGGAGAGCCGGGTTAGCGGTTTTCAAAGCGGCGGACGCGGCTGGAATGCAAATGGACGACGCTTCAGAGAAAATACATGTGTTTTATGAACGTCGTGTTGTTATGCAGGTGAGGGACGGATACTGTCAGACTGCTGAGGCTAAGCAGGGCAATGCCTGGTTAGCACTGGGATGGGAGACCTCGCAGTGGGGCGGCTGCGGCAGAAACTAAACTGATTATTTGAATATTTCTGTTGCTTTAAAGTTTGTTTGTTTTTTAATTTTTAATAGTTTGAAGATATTTCTCTGGTCTCTTTCTCTGGTTTTGCTCTTGTTTCTGATTCTGGTCTCTCTCTGGTCTCTCTCTAGTCTCTCTCTGGTCTCTCTCTGGTCTCTCTCTGGTCTCTCTCTGGTCTCTCTCTGGTCTCTCTCTAGTCTCTCTCTGGTCTCTCTCTAGTCTCTCTCTGGTCTCTCTCTGGTCTCTCTCTAGTCTCTCTCTGGTCTCTCACTAGTCTCACTGCTCGCTCTCCACCGCTCATCACGGCTCCTGTGTACGTTAGCATTAGCATAACAACTCCAGGATAAGAATGGGCTTTATTAGCGCTCTCCCGGAAGCATTCGTCAGCAGCCATTCGTTAGCAGCCGATCATTAGCCGCCGGTCATTAGCCGCCAGTCGTTAGCAGATCCACCGCAGACGAATGTGAAAAGTTTAAGTCGGACTCGGATCGCGATGGGCTTAATTGGATTCGTGAGCGGCCATTTTATAACATTTATCAAAGAGTAAAATCATGAGCAGGTAACGAGAGGCGTCACGCGGAGCTGAGATAATTGGTGAAAGTTAGCATCGAGTTTAAGTCTATTAGCGATGGAGGGATACGCAGAGTTAATTGGAAACAGCGGTGGTTTTTGTTTGTTTGCATTTGGATGTTTTGTTACAAGAAAAAGTTTGAGACGATCTTACAATTAAATAAATCAAAAATATTTTAGTTTATGGAATAGTTCTATTAGTATTCAGTGTTTTAGCCATTTTAGCAGAACATAGATCTTTCTCTTTAGTCTCTCTCTGGTCTCTCTCATGTCTTCCTCTTTAGTCTCTCTCGCTGGACACTCTCTGGTCTCTCTCTGGTCTCTCTCTGGTCTCTCTCTGGTCCCTCTCTGGTCTCTCTCTGGTCTCTCTCTACTCTCTCTCTGGTCTCTCTCTGGTCTCTCCCTGGTCCCTCTCTACTCTCTCTCTACTCTCCCTCTGGTCTCTCTCTGGTCTCTCCCTGGTCCCTCTCTGGTCTCTCTCTGGTCTCTCTCTGGTCTCTCTCTGGTCTCTCTCTGGTCTCTCTCTGGTCTCTCTCTGGTCCCTCTCTGGTCTCTCCCTGGTCCCTCTCTACTCTCTCTCTGGTCTCTCTCTCTGGTCTCTCTCTGGTCTCTCTCTGGCCTCTCTCTGGTCTCTCTCTGGTCCCTCTCTACTCTCTCTCTGGTCTCTCTCTTGTCTCTACTGTCTCCCTGGTCTCTCTCTGGTCTCTCTCTGGTCCCTCTCTACTCTCTCTCTGGTCTCTCCCTCTGGTCTCTCTCTGGCCTCTCTCTGGTCTCTCTCTCTGGTCTCTCTCTGGTCTCTCTCTGGTCTCTCTCTGGTCTCTCTCTGGTCTCTCTCTCTCTATCTGGTCTCTATCTGGTCTCTCTCTGGTCTCTCTCTGGTCTCTCTCTGGTCTCTCTCGCTGGTCTCTCTCGCTGGTCTCTCTCGCTGGTCTCTCTCTCTGGTCTCTCTCTCTGGTCTCTCTCTGGTCTCTCTCTGGTCTCTCTCTGGTCTCTCTCTGGTCTCTCTCTCTGGTCTCTCTCTGGTCTCTCTCTGGTCTCTCTCTGGTCTCTCTCTGGTCTCTCTCTGGTCTCTCTCTGGTCTCTCTCTCTGGTCTCTCTCTGGTCTCTCTCTGGTCTCTCTCTGGTCTCTCTCTCTGGTCTCTCTCTGGTCTCTCTCGCTGGTCTCTCTCGCTGGTCTCTCTCGCTGGTCTCTCTCTCTGGTCTCTCTCTCTGGTCTCTCTCTGGTCTCTCTCTGGTCTCTCTCTGGCCTCTCTCTCTGGTCTCTCTCTCTGGTCTCTCTCTGGTCTCTCTCTGGTCTCTCTCTGGTCTCTCTCTGGTCTCTCTCTGGTCTCTCTCTGGCCTCTCTCTCTGGTCTCTCTCTCTGGTCTCTCTCTGGTCTCTCTCTGGTCTCTCTCTGGTCTCTCTCTGGTCTCTCTCTGGTCTCTCTCTGGTCTCTCATGCATAAATGTGAAAACTAGCGATTGAACCAAACCATTTTGATCTTAGCTCTCTTTTTGTGCGGTAAAGTTGTGTACCCCAGCTTTAACTTAACACACATTGCGCCTCATCGACAAAACCTGGCGACTTAGCATCTCCAGCATCTGTCCGTCGCTCCTTCGGGAACTTCTCGTAACCGCGGCGACGCATTATTCCAACTCTCTCGCCGCCATTCCCGAAACAAATTTCCCCAGAGATACATATATACAATCAGAAATGCGCCACGGAAACGGCCGGTATTAGATCTGAAGAGGCCGCATTGGATTTTTTTTTTTCCGTTTTAAAAGATTTCCTTAGCTCCAGCGTTAACGTATTCTCTCCTGTTGACAATTCCCTCCGAGACGCCCAAAACAAAAGCCTTTTCTTCATCAATTTAATAACAATATTTTTCGACACCGAATGACCAAATGGACCCCGGAGTTTGCTTTCCGAGGATAAAACTTTTCTTTGTATTTATGAATTTAATAAAAGCGCTCATGGGCCACTTATTGTTTTACGCTTTTGCAAAATGTATTTTCTTTTATATATGTTGTAGTTTAGGCCATAATCTCCAGCTCAGCACTTCAGGAGGTGCCGCTGCGAGCTCTTCATGGTCCCACTGTGCCGTTGGGCAAAGCACTCGCGGCCACAGTGACGGTCCAAGGGCTAATAAAGACGAAATGCATTATTTATTTGTGCTCATTTTGGCTTTTAAACGCGATCTGGAGAATAGTTCTTTTGTGTTTTAGACTTGGGAAATGTCTAAAGCACAACTGTTTGGGTAAAAATGCAATCGCAGATGACTAGGATTAGCCACACCCCCATCTACAGGTCAAAGTGTGGAATTACAACTGAGTCTAGCCTTATAGAATGGTTATGCTGTGTCTTATCCGTACTTTTTCACCCCAAACACATAAAGCCAAAGATTAATAAATCGTCCACTTGAACCAATAATCTCAAATGAGCGTAAACTCTTTTCTCTTTCTGCCGGAACCTTCTTCTTCAACTCCCAAATAATATGTTTGCATCTGCGTCCAATTTAAGCACATCTCTTGAGCGTAATGTATGTGGGATCAGGAGGTTCAGCGGTGGGGGATGTTTAGAAATGCTTTGCGGAACTCGGAGTCGGGCCACAGGTCGAGGAGTCACGGTGCGAGACGGAGCGAGACGGACTAATGGCTTGTTTTTCCGTTGGGTTTGTCAATAGAAGCAGCGCCAGAGCGGGAAAAAAATAACGGCGTTTGCATTTACTGAGTGCTTTTGGGAGTTGTTTAAGAGTTGGTGCTGAGCGAGAGTTTAAGGGTTTGGTGTCAGGGCCGTGCTCTGAGAGGTTTGGTTCGAACACCAGCGATGGCGGTTCTGAGAGGTTTGGTTCGAACACCAGCGATGGCGGTTCTGAGAGGTTTGGTTCGAACACCAGCGATGGCGGTTCTGAGAGGTTTGGTTCGAACACCAGCGATGGCGGTTCTGAGAGGTTTGGTTCGAACACCAGCGATGGCGGTTCTGAGAGGTTTGGTTCGAACACCAGCGATGGCGGTTCTGAGAGGTTTGGTTCGAACACCAGCGATGGCGGTTCTGAGAGGTTTGGTTCGAACACCAGCGATGGCGGTTCTGAGAGGTTTGGTTCGAACACCAGCGATGGCGGTTCTGAGAGGTTTGGTTCGAACACCAGCGATGGCGGTTCTGAGAGGTTTGGTTCGAACACCAGCGATGGCGGTTCTGAGAGGTTTGGTTCGAACACCAGCGATGGCGGTTCTGAGAGGTTTGGTTCGAACACCAGCGATGGCGGTTCTGAGAGGTTTGGTTCGAACACCAGCGATGGCGGTTCTGAGAGGTTTGGTTCGAACACCAGCGATGGCGGTTCTGAGAGGTTTGGTTCGAACACCAGCGATGGCGGTTCTGAGAGGTTTGGTTCGAACACCAGCGATGGCGGTTCTGAGAGGTTTGGTTCGAACACCAGCGATGGCGGTTCTGAGAGGTTTGGTTCGAACACCAGCGATGGCGGTTCTGAGAGGTTTGGTTCGAACACCAGCGATGGCGGTTCTGAGAGGTTTGGTTCGAACACCAGCGATGGCGGTTCTGAGAGGTTTGGTTCGAACACCAGCGATGGCGGTTCTGAGAGGTTTGGTTCGAACACCAGCGATGGCGGTTCTGAGAGGTTTGGTTCGAACACCAGCGATGGCGGTTATGAGAGGTTTGGTTTGAACACCAGCGATGGCGGTTCTGAGAGGTTTGGTTCGAACACCACCGATGGGTTTAGTTGGTGCGAAGAAACCACTGGGAATGTGTCGTTTTTTTATTTGAAAAGTCAAGCAGTGTGAAATTTCTCCATATTTTAGTTATTTTTAGAGAATATTAGTCATTGTTTTTCCAGAATCTAAAATGTGTTTCCTTTACTCAGCTTTTATTTTGCTGGATTTTAATGTAAAAGACGTTATGGAATGTTTTTAAACCATTATTTAACCACAGCTCCATATTTTTTTTTCCAATAGACACTGGCACCGCAAAAAAGAAACACCAAAGAGAAAAAGAGGAGAGAGCAGAGAGAGAGAGACCTCAGTCTGGACTCTCAGATCCGAGTCTGAACTCTCAGATCCGAGTCTGGACTCTCAGATCCGAGTCTGGACTCTCAGATCCGAGTCTGGACTCTCTGATCCGAGTCTGGACTCTCTGATCCGAGTCTGGACTCTCTGATCCGAGTCTGGACTCTCTGATCCGAGTCTGGACTCTCAGGCTGGCGTCGCCCAGACTCACCTTGGATCCTCGTTCGTTAAAGATAATCTCCACATCCAGGATCTTCCCGAATTGCTGCGAACACAAAGAAAAGACAAAAGGGAACGACGTTAGAAAAGCAAAAAAAAGAAGAAGAAAAAGACGGACTTAGAATGAGACGCGAACCCACAAAGAGAGCGGCGCGGTGATAGCTTTAGCATCGATACCACACTCTGTCCTGCTATAGACACACACCGCGACAGCTCATCGGGAAAACCATTAGAATCACACAAATGGTCGGAATGAAGACGCACAATGGGTTTAACAGTAACGATCTGTTGGAACTGGATTGAAATACTTAAATACTAATCGGCAATTCACCAGAACGACATCAGGTCGCGGCCTTTCATGTCCACATTACTGAACTGAGCAGGGCCTGTTTTATCTTGTGTGTTTTTTGCTGGACTGAGACACAAAATAAAATACAGGGAACACATTGGATTTTTGTGAACATAAACCATTAATTAATTCACACTAAAAGAAGAAATGTTTTTCAAAATGGCTGCTCATTAACGAAGTGATTGGGAAAGTAATCCATGTCTTTAATAGAAAATATATTTAGTGAAACCAGAATCAAGGAAACACAATGGAAGCGGCCTGCACTACCCCAAGCCACCACCAGAGGGAGGTGTAGAATACGGTTTGTTTTTTTCAAATGTCGTTATTTACCGGCTGCAAACACAGACATTTTAATTCCAAACTCTTTTATGGGCGATACTTTAGTTTGAATGTGTGTGACGTCATAAACACACAATGACATCATACTTCTACAGGACTGAGACAGGAGCTTTAAGACACAAAGGGGCGGAGCTACAGGTTGGTGCCAGGAGTCTCTGATAATAGCCTGTATGGACTGGCCTCCTGCTGGGACTCTGAGGAGCACAGGGACTGGCCTCCTGCTGGGACTCTGAGGAGCACAGGGACTGGCCTCCTGCTGGGACTCTGAGGAGCACAGGGACTGGCCTCCTGCTGGGACTCTGATGGGACTAAATTCTGGAACAGTCTTCCTCAAAAAGTGAGACAGGCTTCTTCTCTGACAATGCTCAAATCCAGATTTTGTCTTCTTTACCTCCCATCACAGTCCACCTCCATCTTGTTTTGACCCCCTCACATACACACATCTTGGGGGCCCTCCCACTCCGGACTCTCTCGATCCCGCTCCGATCTGGACCAGACCGCGGTCCACTGTAAGTCCCGCTAATGACTCCGGTGAAAGCCACTTTTAATTGCTGTCTACAATAGCCGTATTATTTCATTAAAAGTAATTACCCTGTCAAGCGGGCCGCATCGCCTCCATTTGGACACGGCGGGGCGGGAATGGGCTGCGGGTGCTGGCGGGCCCTCGGTGATTGGAGGGGGGAGGATGGACGGGTGGGGGTGCCGCCAGGGGAGGGGGGGAGTAATGGGGGTGAGGCACAGCTTTGTTCAGGGGTTAAAGGAGAGTCGTAAATATTCACACGTGGTCGGACTGTGTGGAGTCTGAGCGGCTGAGATCACTCCATGTGACATCACACGGTTCCATTGGATTCACACTTCTCTCTCGTGACTGATTCGATTTGTCCATGCACCCATTTTCTTCCGCTTTATCCGTTGCCGGGTTGAGGAGGCAGCCGTGTAAGCAGAGACTCTCCACACACACTGCCTCCAGCTCATCCAGGAATCCAGAATCAGAACCATTGTTATTGCCATTGTAAGTCAGGGAAACTCTTTTGGTTGCTTGATTTTCTAGTTTGCAGTTTGAAAATCAACAACTGTGTGAAGTTCTTTGACTGTAACCTACTTCTGAAGGCTTTACTAACTCACTAAATTCTTCAAAGGTTGTGCCGTTATAGTGTTACAGTTGCTTACGTCGGTCATAGATTACACAACAATTTACACATGTTTGACTTCTGAAAGGAGAAGAAAAATCTGCTGATTGCTAACTTCATGTGCCGACAGAGGGATCACAGAGGAGGAGGTCCCACGTGCGAATCCTCAGAGATGACTTCCTCACACAGTAATTAATCGATGCCACCGGGCCATTACGAGCGGTTACAACAATTAGCAACTGTGCATCTGTGTGTGAGGGAGGAGGGGGAGGAGAGGGGGAGAGACGGAGAGAGGAGAGAAAGAAGAAAGTAAAGAAGAGGGAGGAGAGAGGAGAGAGAGGGGGGGAGAAAGAAGAAAGTAAAGAAGAGGGAGGAGGGGGAGGAGAGGGGGAGGAGAGAGGGAGGGGAGGGGAGAGAGGGAGGAGGGGAGAGGGAGGAGGGGAGAGGAGAAAGTAAAGAAGAGAGAGGAGAGGGGAGAGAGAGGGGGGGGAGAAAGAACAAAGTAAAGAAGAGTGAGGAGGAGAGGGGAGAGAGGAGAGAGAAAAAGGGTAGAGTGGAGAAGGGAGGAGAGGAGAGTGAACTATGGTAGAGAAGAAAGAGGGAAGAGAGAAAGGAGGAGTGGAGAAACAGAAGAACGCTGTGTCTGACTTAAACATAAATAAATCTGTTGTTCTTGGTTTTAAAAAAAGTGCGATTATTAGACTGTCCTCTCCACACCCTCATCTTCATCTTCATCATCACCTTCATCGTCATCATAGGAAAGGCAAGTTTATTTATATATCACAGTTCATACACAAGGCAACTCAAAGTGCTGAACAAAATAAGAAAGCATTAAAATCATAAATAATCACAGAACATTAAAAAGAAAGAAAATATAAAATCCCTCAGTTGTAGCACAGTTAAACAGAACTGTCTTTAACCTGGTTTTAAACATTGTCAGAGAGGAGGCCTGTCTCACATCATCTTCCTCATCACCCTCATCATCATCACCCTCATCATCCTCATTATCACCACATTATCTTCCTTATAGAGCCCCACACTGTGGCTGGGTGGTTGTAGCTGCGTGGTTGTGGCTGGGTGGTTGTAGCTGGGTGGTTGTAGCTGGGTGGTTGTAGCTGGGTGGTTGTGGCTGGGTGGTTGTAGCTGGGTGGTTGTAGCTGGGTGGTTGTAGCTGGGTGGTTGTAGCTGGGTGGTTGTAGCTGGGTGGTTGTAGCTGCGTGGTTGTAGCTGGGTGGTTGTAGCTGGGTGGTTGTAGCTGGGTGGTTGTAGCTGGGTGGTTGTAGCTGGGTGGTTGTAGCTGGGTGGTTGTAGCTGGGTGGTTGTGGCTGGGTGGTTGTGGCTGGGTGGTTGTAGCTGGGTGGTTGTAGCTGGGTGGTTGTAGCTGGGTGGTTGTGGCTGGGTGGTTGTAGCTGGGTGGTTGTGGCTGGGTGGTTGTGGCTGGGTGGTTGTGGCTGGGTGGTTGTAGCTGGGTGGTTGTAGCTGGGTGGTTGTAGCTGGGTGGTTGTAGCTGGGTGGTTGTGGCTGGGTGGTTGAGGTTGTGGCTGGGTGGTGGTAGCTGGGTGGTTGTAGCTGGGTGGTTGTAGCTGGGTGGTTGTGGCTGGGTGGTTGTAGCTGGGTGGTTGTAGCTGGGTGGTTGTAGCTGGATGGTTGTGGCTGGGTGGTTGTGGCTGGGTGGTTGTAGCTGGGTGGTTGTAGCTGGGTGGTTGTGGCTGGGTGGTTGTGGCTGGGTGGTTGAGGTTGTGGCTGGGTGGTGGTAGCTGGGTGGTTGTAGCTGGGTGGTTGTAGCTGGGTGGTTGTGGCTGGGTGGTTGTAGCTGGGTGGTTGTAGCTGGGTGGTTGTAGCTGGGTGGTTGTGGCTGGGTGGTTGTAGCTGGGTGGTTGTGGGTGGCTGGTTGTGGCTGGGTGGTTGTGGCTGGGTGGTTGTGGCTGGGTGGTTGTAGCTGGGTGGTTGTGGCTGGGTGGTTGTAGCTGGGTGGTTGTGGCTGGGTGGTTGTGGCTGGGTGGTTGTAGCTGGGTGGTTGTAGCTGGGTGGTTGTAGCTGGGTGGTTGTGGCTGGGTGGTTGTAGCTGGGTGGTTGTAGCTGGGTGGTTGTGGCTGGGTGGTTGTAGCTGGGTGGTTGTGGCTGGGTGGTTGTGGCTGGGTGGTTGTAGCTGGGTGGTTGTGGCTGGGTGGTTGTAGCTGGATGGTTGTGGCTGGGTGGTTGTGGCTGGGTGGTTGTAGCTGGGTGGTTGAGGTTGTGGCTGGGTGGTTGTGGCTGGATGGTTGTGGCTGGGTGGTTGTGGCTGGGTGGTTGTAGCTGGGTGGTTGTGGCTGGGTGGTTGTGGCTGGGTGGTCGTGGCTGGGTGGTTGTAGCTGGGTGGTTGTAGCTGGGTGGTTGTGGCTGGGTGGTTGTGGCTGGGTGGTTGTGGCTGGGTGGTTGTAGCTGGGTGGTTGTGGCTGGGTGGTTGTGGCTGGGCGGCTGTGGCTGGGTGGTTGTAGCTGGTGGTTGTGGCTGGGTGGTTGTGGCTGGGCGGCTGTGGTTGGGTGGTTGTGGCTGGGTGGTTGTAGCTGGGTGGTTGTAGCTGGGTGGTTGTAGCTGGGTGGTTGTAGCTGGGTGGTTGTGGCTGGGTGGTTGTAGCTGGGTGGTTGTAGCTGGATGGTTGTGGCTGGGTGGTTGTGGCTGGGTGGTTGTAGCTGGGTGGTTGTAGCTGGGTGGTTGTAGCTGGGTGGTTGTGGCTGGGTGGTTGTGGCTGGGTGGTTGTGGCTGGGTGGTTGTGGCTGGGTGGTTGTAGCTGGGTGGTTGTAGCTGGATGGTTGTGGCTGGGTGGTTGTAGCTGGGTGGTTGTAGCTGGGTGGTTGTAGCTGGGTGGTTGTAGCTGGGTGGTTGAGGTTGTAGCTGGGTGGTTGTAGCTGGGTGGTTGAGGTTGTAGCTGGGTGGTTGTGGCTGGGTGGTTGTAGCTGGGTGGTTGTGGCTGGGTGGTTGTGGCTGGGTGGTTGTAGCTGGGTGGTTGTAGCTGGATGGTTGTGGCTGGGTGGTTGTGGCTGGGTGGTTGTAGCTGGGTGGTTGAGGTTGTGGCTGGGTGGTTGTGGCTGGGTGGTTGTGGCTGGGTGGTTGTGGCTGGGTGGTTGTAGCTGGGTGGTTGTAGCTGGATGGTTGTGGCTGGGTGGTTGTAGCTGGGTGGTTGTAGCTGGGTGGTTGTAGCTGGGTGGTTGTAGCTGGGTGGTTGAGGTTGTAGCTGGGTGGTTGTAGCTGGGTGGTTGTGGCTGGGTGGTTGTGGCTGGGTGGTTGTAGCTGGGTGGTTGAGGTTGTGGCTGGGTGGTTGTAGCTGGGTGGTTGAGGTTGTAGCTGGGTGGTTGTGGTTGGGTGTGCTGCCTTAAAGTGCCGTTGTATTTAAAATGCACTTTGCCGCCGCTGCATCGGACGCAGGTAATAAAGAAAGTCGCACCCGTTCCAGCACGCCACTTTGTCTCACGGCTAAAGTGCTGAGCGAGGCGCCGGAGGCAAAGTGGAACTCAGCGATCGGAGGACGTGTGAGAGAGCAGCCGCAGAGAGAGGAGCATGCTCTGCGAAAGTGAAACTAAAATATCACAGACTCATCGTATTTTCTAACCTTGCCTGCAAGCTGAATTCTCGCGGTATTTGTGAGTTCACAAACACTCGAGAATACATCTTGTACCGCTCCCGCTTACACTTTTCGAGTCGAACCACTGGGTGTGCGAGCCAATCACGCGCCAGTCTGGGGGTTTAGGGCGGGATATCCGGGTTTGACGAAAGCAAGAAGTGCCGGGCCGAAGCAAAACAAACATGGCTACGCAGGAGGACGGACGCGTAGCTGAGGCTATCAAGTCAGTTTTAGCAGAATCTCCAATTTCTTTTTTGAAAGATGAACAGCGAGAGGCGCTTTGTGCATTACTGGACGGCAACCTTGGTAGGCAGGCACACAGCGTCACTTCGCCCAATCAGCTTGAAGTATTCTGCTGCTTATCCCTCCTTTCCCCGAAAGGATTCTCCGGGAGAAATCCCAGATTGATATCGTGGAGAACGCGTTAGAGTTCTACACAATCATCAATCTGGCTCTTGCCAGGTTACGTATTTTCAATTTGATTTAATTCACTTTTTTGTCTTGTTTTTTGCCCGCTTGGTTAGAACCTACCTCTACTCTACTCTACTCTACTCTACTCTACTCTACTCTACTCTACTCTACTCTACTCTCCCCTGGTTGGGAGTGTTTCCTCTGGTCCTGTGTAACCAGTACCAGGTCCTTCTTTAGTCCCTCTTGGTCCTGGTTCTATCCAGGCCGAGCTGGTACTAAAGTGTTCTGACTGACAGTGATTTTTCACAGATACTGGTTTGTTGTGGGTACGATGCTAAAGGATAAGATAAATACAACCAGGTAGGATATAGTAGAGTAGAGTGGAGTAGGGTACAGTAGAGTAGGGTAGAGTAGAGTAGAGTAGGGTACAGTAGAGTAGGGTAGAGTAGAGTAGGGTAGCATAAAGTAGAGTAGAGTAGATAAGAGTAGAGTAGAGTAGAGTAGAGTAGCATAAAGTAGAGAAGAGTAGAGTAGGATAAAGTAGAGTAGAGTAGAGTAGAGTAGCATAAAGTAGAGAAGAGTAGAGTAGAGTAGAACTGCTGAACTGCAAAACAAATTTCGGATCCTTGTATCTGACAATAAAGCATTTATCTATCTATCTATCTAGAGTAGGATAAAGTATAGTAGGGTAGAGTAGAGTAGGATAAAGTAGAGTAGAGTAGGGTAGAGTAGGGTAGAGTAGAGTAGGATAAAGTAGAGAAGAGTAGAGTAGATAAGAGTAGAGTAGAGTAGGGTACAGTAGAGTAGGATAAAGTAGAGTAGAGTAGAGAAGAGTAGAGTAGGGTACAGTAGAGTAGCATAAAGTAGAGTAGAGTAGGGTACAGTAGAGTAGCATAAAGTAGAGTAGAGTAGGGTACAGTAGAGTAGCATAAAGTAGAGAAGAGTAGAGTAGATAAGAGTAGAGTAGAGTAGAGTAGGGTACAGTAGAGTAGAGTACATAAGAGTAGCGTAGAGTAGAGTAGGGTAGGGTAGAGTAGCATAAAGTAGAGAAGAGTAGAGTAGAGTAGAGTAGAGTGGAGTAGGGTAGGGTAGAGTAGAGTAGAGCAGAGTAGGGTAGGGTAGAGTAGAGTAGAGTAGGGTAGGGTAGAGTAGGGTAGGATAGAGTAGAGTAGAGTAGGGTAGGGTAGAGTAGAGTAGAGTAGAGTAGAGTAGGGTAGAGTAGAGTAGAGTAGGGTAGGGTAGAGTAGAGTAGAGTAGGGTAGAGTAGAGTAGAGTAGAGTAGGGTAGGGTAGAGTAGAGTAGAGTAGAGTAGAGTAGGGTAGAGTAGGGTAGGGTAGAGTAGAGTAGAGTAGGGTAGGGTAGAGTAGAGTAGAGTAGAGTAGAGTAGAGTAGGGTAGGGTAGAGTAGAGTAGGGTAGGGTAGAGTAGAGTAGGCTAGGGTAGGGTAGGTTAGGGTAGAGTAGGGTAGGGTAGAGTAGGGTAGGGTCAAACTGGACGTGTTTAAATAAAGAGTTCTGATTGGTTCTGGCTACACATGTGGACGGAGTGAGTGGATGCTGATTGGCTGAGGGGGGTCCTCTCTGAACATCATAAATAACTGTAGATAGACTCAAACTGATTTAGAGTTCATTTAGATCCGACTTAAAGCTTCTGTTTCTTTGCTTTGTTCCAAACGAGCATCTGGAAGTTTCCGTGGAGGATCTGTGTGTATCGTGTTTGTGTCAGAGACATAAAGTACTTTCAATATTTATAATTTATTACAATCATTTTCTGCAACAATGTGTCGTCCATCACCGAGAGTCAGTGCGGAGCCGCTGTTGTTCTGAGACAAAACACAATCAAAGCTTTGAGAATCGTTAACGCTGTTCTGTGGCTGTTCCCTCAGTCCACCGCTCCCCCCTCTGCTCCTCGCTCTCCCACAAACTGCAGCATCAGCAGAAGAAGAAACAATGGCCTCATCTCAGAGAGGGAGGGGCCTGTAGGGGGCGCTGACGTCACCATGCAGACATATATATGTATACACATACAGAGAGATGCAGTGTACACACACACACACAGAGTCACTGAACACACACACAGAGACGCACTGTGCATAACCACACATATACATATACACACACAGAGATGCAATGTACATACATACATATAGTTATATGTATATATTATAAACATACATTTATATACATAGACACACATTGTACTGTACATGCATACAAACACACACACATAGATATACAAACATTGCACATAAACACAGACATATATTTACAGACACACACTGTCACTGTGTACACACACATATATACATCCACATGTATACACACACACAGAGTCACTGAACACACACACAGAGAGACGCACTGTACATTCACACACATATATACATACACATGTATACACACAGACACACACACCGCCCCCACAGACCCGGTCCCTGCTCTCCCTTTGAAGTCATGACATCACCACAGTCTAAAGTCCACACCAACAGAACCTGCAGGAGCCACGGTGGTTCTGGTCTGGTCCTGATCTGGTCCAGGGTCTCTGTCCTCAGAGAGAGAAGCAGCCAATCAGAGAGCTCGCCTCTGGGATTAGGACTTTTCATGGACACTAATCTAATCTGTGACATGGATTAGGACGTGTCAGATTAACACAGATCACACGTGTTATAATCGGTCGAGAAGTGATTGAATTATTTTCTTTTTGAACACAGCCGGGGCATTTGTTGTTGAGCCAATTACAACTAAAAAGAAACATCAGGAATTCATCCATTTTGAAAAAGCTGCAGAAGGCCAAAGTGATGTCACATGACTTTTAACGGCGGAGAACGGCGTCACTACATCCTTTAATATTTACAGTCTGCTGAACAGTTTAGCAAAATACTACCACAATGCTAATGTGTTGGTGTTGCTATGGTAACTGAGATTGTTCTTAAATGCATACTCACACACAAACACTGTGTACACACACACACACTGTACTCACACAAACACTGTGTACACACACACACTGTACTCACACAAACAGTGTAGACACACAAACACACACACATACACACAGTAAATGTTGCGTCTGAGACACCATTTTATCAAAGGTTAATTTTTTTATTTTAACCAAATTATGTAAAACAGAGATTTCTCCGATGTACGTATGACGTCATGTGACATCAACAATAAAGTGAAATTTAAAAAAGTATTTTTTTATATTTTTGTCAAATTGAATTGGATTAAAACACATGAACGCCGTGGACAGAGCCACAGTCTGTGGATGAAGTCCTACTGTGGTGTGTGTATGGGCCTGCCGCGCCTGTCACGTCTCTGCCCCCTGCCTCTGCCCTGGGTCCTTCTCAGGATCACAGGATGTAATTAGCGCTGGGTCCGCTCTGGTCTTAATGAGGTCTTCAGTCAGAGCCTCGTTACTGACACGACTTCAAATTCTGACCCGAGTCCAAGAGGATCTCCAGGGGAAAGACCGAGGAAGGACTGAGGAAGGACCGAGGAAGGACCAGGGAAGGACCGAGGAAGGACCGAGGAAGGACCAGGGAAGGACCGAGGAAGGACCGGGGAAGGACTGAGGAAGGACCGAGGAAGGACTGAGGAAGGACTGAGGAAGGACCGGGGAAGGACCAGGGAAGGACCAGGGAAGGACCGAGGAAGGACCAGGGAAGGACCGAGGAAGGACTGAGGAAGGACTGAGGAAGGACCAGGGAAGGACCAGGGAAGGACCGAGGAAGGACCGAGGAAGGACCAGGGAAGGACTGAGGAAGGACCGGGGAAGGACCAGGGAAGGACCAGGGAAGGACCGAGGAAGGACCAGGGAAGGACCGAGGAAGGACTGAGGAAGGACTGAGGAAGGACCAGGGAAGGACCAGGGAAGGACCGAGGAAGGACCGAGGAAGGACCAGGGAAGGACCGAGGAAGGACCGAGGAAGGACCAGGGAAGGACCGAGGAAGGACCGAGGAAGGACCGAGGAAGGACCGAGGAAGGACCGAGGAAGGACCGAGGAAGGACCGGGGAAGGACCGAGGAAGGACCAGGGAAGGACCGAGGAAGGACCGAGGAAGGACCAGGGAAGGACCGAGGAAGGACCGAGGAAGGACCGAGGAAGGACCCGGGAAGGACCGAGGAAGGACTGAGGAAGGACCAGGGAAGGACCAGGGAAGGACCAGGGAGGGACCGGGGAAGGACCGAGGAAGGACCAGGGAAGGACCGAGGAAGGACCGAGGAAGGACCAGGGAAGGACCGAGGAAGGACCGAGGAAGGACCAGGGAAGGACCGAGGAAGGACCGAGGAAGGACCGAGGAAGGACCGAGGAAGGACCAGGAAAGGACCGAGGAAGGACAGAGGAAGGACCGAGGAAGGACCGAGGAAGGACCAGGAAAGGACCGAGGAAGGACCGAGGAAGGACCAGGGAAGGACCGAGGAAGGACCGAGGAAGGACCAGGGAAGGACCGAGGAAGGACCGAGGAAGGACCAGGAAAGGACCGAGGAAGGACCGAGGAAGGACCAGGAAAGGACCGAGGAAGGACTGAGGAAGGACAGAGGAAGAACAATGGGAGGGGCCGATGGCACAGACTGGTCGCCTCGCTTCTGTCAGTGTGCCCCAGGGCAGCTGTGGCTACAGCAATAATGACTTGTGAAGCATCTTTGAGCGTACAAAATAACGCTATATAAAACTTTATTATTATTATTATCATTAATATTGAGTGTCCTGGATCAAAATGGCGACTCTGGGATTTTTTCTAGTTTCAGAATTTTTGGGAATCTCAGTCTCAGCAAAAGGCATCATGAAGAAAATCAAACAGAGGCGACTAAAGTCTTTCTAAAATTGTCTTTTCACATCATTTTGCCCAATTTGGTGAAGAGTAACTTAAGTGTAACCTGGCAGTAACACTAACTTCTCCATGAAACATTTAGTCCGGTTCGTTCCCACTTCCTGCGTCTTTAAAAGCGGCGTTCCCTTCTGAGCGCTGTTCTTTGTGTTTTCCATCATCAGAGGTTTTTAGAGCTACTTCCTGTTGCCTCGGCGTTTCAAAGCAAGCCTTAGATAATGGTGCAAACGCCCGGGTTTCGCTGGCGTCTCGCGGCTCTAAATAATAAATCCGGTCTGGAGCACGGACAAGCCAGGAACTTTGCACTTTGGGAGTCCCCCAGGAGTGACTTTGAACTTTCCAAAGGGCCCGGAACGCCAAATTGAACTTTGGGCCGTGGTCGACGATTGCTTCTTCATCAAAAGCGACTGTAGAGTTTAGTGTTTACGTCGGTTTGACGAAGAGAAGGCAGCTCCAACCTCAGCTGTGTGAAGAGTCCTTGTAGTTAAAGGGGAAGTTATGTGTAACTTTTTACAGATTTTTCAGTTGGATTTTTTACTTTTTAAAGTATTTTCTTGCTTCGCTCATGTGACCACTGCTCTGGGGAGCTCTCCAAGGTATAGTTCATGCAAGGAAACCCAGGAATTTACTGTGACTGGAGGGTATTGGCAGCATTACGATTAGAAAGGATTTCAGAGAGAGACCAGAGACAAGAGGGAGACCACAGAGAGAGACCACAGAGAGACCACAGAGAGACCACAGATAGACCACAGAGAGAGACCAGAGGAAGACCATAGAGAGACCACAGAGAGACCACAGAGAGATGTAGAGCTACCAGAGAGTGACCAAAGGGAGACCAGAGAGACCACAAAGGGAGACCAGAGAGACCACAGAGAGAGAGGGACCAGAGAGAGACCAGAGACAAGAGGGAGACCACAGAGAGAGAGACCACAGAGAGAGAGACCACAGAGAGACCACAGAGAGACTAGAGATATTCCGGAGAGTGACCAAAGGGAGACCAGAGAGACCACACAGAGAGAGGGACCAGAGAGAGACCAAAGGAAGACCATAGAGAGACCACAGAGAGACCACAGAGAGACCAGAGAGAGACCAAAGGGAGACCAGAGAGACCACAGAGAGGGACCAGAGAGGGACCAGAGAGAGTCCAGGAAAAGAAACCAGAGGAAGACCATAGAGAGACCAGAAAGAGACCAGACAGAGACCAAAGGGAGACCAGAGAGACCACAGAGAGACCACAGAGAGAGACCAGAGAGAGACCAGAGAGAGACCAAAGGGAGACCAGAGAGACCACAAAGAGAGACCAGAGAGACCACAGAGAGACCACAGAGAGAGACCAGAGAGAGACCAAAGGGAGACCAGAGAGACCACAAAGAGAGACCAGAGAGACCACAAAGAGAGACCAGAGAGACCACAGAGAGAGACCACAGAGACACTAGATGCCTTCGCACAACCGCTAACAATCAGTGAGACAAATACCAACACAACCTCCTACATTTCCCGCCGTATGTAAACGTGTCAACACAACATGTCTCGTTGCCAGATCAGGACGAAGCCGCACTCACCCCGAACATTTGCCGCAGGTCGGGGTCCCGGAAGCGGAAGGGGATGTTGGAGACGTGTAACCTCTTGGGCTGCTGCTTCTCTGAGGAGTCCGAGTGCTGGAGCTGCAGGGACTGGGAGCCCTCTGTCTGTGACACGTCATCTGCCTGGAGAGGACCAAACACCAACACGGGTCAGGAACCAACAACCAGCAACAAAGAGGACGGGACCAGAGGACAGGACTAGCTAACAATGCTAACAATGCTAGAAATGCTGAAAATGCTAACAATGCTAGAAATGCTGAAAATGCTGAAAATGCTAACAATGCTAGAAATGCTAACAGTGCTAAAAATACTAAAAATGCTAACAGTGCTAAAAATGCTAAAAATGCTAGAAATGCTGAAAATGCTAACAATGCTAGAAATTCTGAAAATGCTAACAATGCTAGAAATGCTGAAAATGCTGAAAATGCTAACAATGCTAGAAATGCTAAAAATGCTGAAAATGCTAACAATGCTAGAAATGCTAACAGTGCTAAAAATACTAAAAATGCTAACAGTGCTAAAAATGCTAAAAATGCTAACAGTGCTAAAAATGCTAACAA